GATTCCTTCACATTAGTTTTTATATAAGAATCAATTATTTTTGTTTTGAATAAAAGATATTTTGTTAAAATACTAGGAAGTTGCGTTTCCATAATAATTTTTATTCGCAAGTGTAACCCGTAAAAGTTAACTTGAGACCCGAGCGCCGTTGTGTATTACCAACTGCGCTCAGGTTTCAAGATAACTCTTGCGAGTTATAGTAAAAGTCTCGTTTAAAATTAATGTTTAATCTCCGTTAATATAGCTTACAATAATGAATTAATTTACTTTGAAGTTATAGTGGTTTTTAAAGAGGTGAAAAAATAGGGGCGTTAAAAAATAATTTATTCTCAAAGTGGGTAAAATAAGTTTGAGAACTTAGACAAAATAAGTTTGAGAACCCCTGACCTAGAGCATGAACCTCGGCCACCAGGCGTTGTCGAAGGCCCCAGAGATGTCAAGAAATATCACCCGCACATAATTCGACGAACTCTCTCTAGCCGTTCTGAATATATAATTCTTAAGTGTTCGGTAAGTCCCTAACTATTCCCTCCATTAAACTGTCACTGGGAGGCAGCGCATCTTCTCCTGACGGTCTCGGTGAAGCCATTAACTCCACTTGCCTGTGGTACTCACTGTACTTGCACACATTGCCGCCCGGACAGAGAGCATACAGGAGACTGAGCATGGCCTCATCCACTCTCCCAACATATCCTTCGGCGAATTTCATGCCATTAATTACCCAGGCCTAGGAGATCTAGGCCTCCCACTCGTGACTCGGTAGGCCTGTCCCCAAGGGTCCAGGTTTTTGTAATACATAAGCAACTTTCCTAAAATGCACAAGTTGCGCTTTCTTCATGGCTCACCTATATGTTCTCCTATGTGCATGAAAACGTTTGCTGGCATTAGATTCCTCGAGCCCACCTCTCTGGCGGGTCATTTGCCAGTATCGTCTCAACCTATTGTTCTCATGACTCATCCGACCAAGCTCGGGCGTCCACCATTCATATCCCCGGTTCGATTTCCTAGCCTTGACCAATCCCAGCGTCTACTTTGCGGTGCTCCCTACCAAAACGGTGCATTGAGAACAGAATGCCGAAGTGGAACGCTCCCATCTTAAGTTGCCCACCCTGCTGTGTATGCAACACTCGAAGAGGCCCCAGTTCACACCCCCGATCCCGCAGTTTGTTCGGCTCTTCTAGCAACCCAGCACGTGGAGTGGCCTCGCTTGCTACTGTGTAATAGGCCGATGGTCGCTCTCAAATATATCAACCCACATCCTCCACCCCGTCACCGGGTTGCCTTCTTTTCTTAGCGTGAGGTCGATGTTCTGTTCGCCGTTGAGAACGTGGGTGGTTTATGATCCTTATTTGCTAGTAGCAGGCCTCGTGCCAGGATAAACGCCTCCATCGACTCACGGCGGTACGTGACATCTGGCCCGCGTCCAGTGTACTACCGCGGTTTGCAGTACCACATCGGAGAGTGTGCGTTAGTCTACCTATATTAAGACCTTTTTCCCTTTCAGGAAATCCAGAACCATGCTTAAACGTTCTAAGTGCGTAGCTATGTCGTCGCTGTACTGTAAGTACGCAGACACCACGTTTAGACATCTCTTCGTAGGTATATGAGACTTTGTACAGTGAATAGTAGTGTAAGAGGGCGCACAGTAGGTCCTTACGGTGGACATAGACGCATGACTTGACCCCATCACTGCACCACAGAAAACCCGTGACGTGTGTGTCGGCGTCTTTTTGTCCAAATCGATGGCATGATACATATCTTGGTTTTTCAGCCTTGCAGTCTGTTGCGTTGTGGCCACTTGCACCGCAGCAACTGCACGTCATAGTTTCTTGACGGCACCTCTTTTCATTGTGCCCGTATAGGCTACATTTACCACCTCAAACTTCCCACCCCACGTTTAGATTTTTTTTTTTTATGAAATGGAGGGCAAATGACTGCGTTCCACCTGATGGTAAGCGGAGGCGTAGTCCAAACGCGAGGATATTATAGGCCTATTCCGACCAAAAGTTTTCGTAATAACGGCGTACATTCCAGGACCATGGCGGAATTTCCAGAGCCTTGGCAGCTTTTCCTGATGGCCTGTCTACACTGTTCCATCATTTTCTTTAGGGGTCACTCCGCATAGCCACTCCTCAAAGTTTTGTTTGTGTATTGATAGATCCTGAATTACTACCAAAGGGAACTTACCCTTCAATTCGTTTGCTTTCACGTTAGTCGGAAGTGCTGCTTTCAATCTTTTTAAGACCTTTCCAGTTCATGTTTGGATTATAATTTCCTATTGCCAACCCTTTGCACCCCATCTAAATTTATTTGCAGCTTAGATAGGGCTACTGAGGTCTTTAGAACCTTCTTAGTTTCCTCCGAGTTCTTTATGTTGGATCCCTCCGCCGGGTGTATAGCGATTGTCGATCCCCTCTGCGTACGTTATCGGCGTATGAATGCCCGCCTGAGATGCCAGATGTGCTACCACATCGGCCGCCGCTGATACCGAAGCCTCGCTCACCGCCTAGGCTCCAGTATTGGCTCGCTTGACCTTACCTCTGCCGACCTCCGCTATCAAGCCCACCAAAAGTGCACCACAACTTCCATCAACACTGACAGCTGGGTGTTGATGGCCGCCAGATCCACCTTATTAAACTTGGAGGTCTATCCTCCACCACCCCCGAGGCAATGAATCTCGCTGATTCATTGCCTCTCGTCAATAGCTCTCGAGACGTCGCCCGTGACAGATCCGATGGCCCTTCGTCAGCACCAGGTTCCTCTTCCTCCTCCTCGCTACTCGATAGCACGACCCCGTACCTCGGTGGTGTCGAGGTACCCGAGGTACGTTCTTAACGGTGAATGGATCGTCCACCATTAACCTCACATTAATGAAAGGAGGCATCCCGGTGACGGGATGAGCGTGGATTGATAAATTTGAGAGCGACCACCGTCACTCACACAGTGGCAAGCGAGGCCACTCCACGCGCTGGGCTGCTAGAAGAGCCGAAGAAACTCCGGGACCGGGGTGTGGACTAAGGCCTCTTCGAGCGTCGCATACACAGCAGGGTAGGCAACTATTGGTAGGAGCGTTCCGCCACGACAGCCTGTGTTCAATTCACCGTGTGTTCAATTCTCAACGAATGATGGATGCCCAAGCTTGATCGGATACGTTGTGAGAACAATAGACTGAGACGATACTGGCAGATGTCCCGTCGGAGTCCCTTCTAGCATATGCTAGAAGGGGAATCCTGTATTCTACTAGATAGATTAGGAAATGAGTTTATACCTGTTTATAATAATGACCCTCCCCAAATCCAAGCACTAACGTCCGAATTGAACACCAGATTCACAAGGGATAAGGACCCTTAAATCTATAGCAAAAACGTATAAGCCAATAAGTGTTTGCCACTTTTCAATCATAGAGAAGCAAATAAATAATGAACGTATATGGCCGCTCCCCAGAGCTGTTCACGGGGGTACATTTGGTGCAACATCAATACAGAATTTCTTACAAGTATTAGCTGAAACAAAAGAAACACCACTAGAGACAAGATGCATGCTACCAAAAGCTAAAATTATTAGAGAATTTGTAAAAAATTTAAACAATATCAATAATTGTTCTGCCAAATCTACTAAGAACTATTGACACTTTGAGGGATTTAAATAATACAAATAATATATGCCACAGCCAAAACATTAATTCTTAACAATAAATAAACACCATTTATACCTAAAAATCTGATTACTAAAACGACAGATCCACCATGGAAGAATAGAATAAAAAATAAAATATAAAAACTAAGAAAAGAATAAGGACAGTTTCTTGAAATAAACAGTGAAGTAAATGCATGCAGAATGTTGAATATAAAAGACAGGCTATATAAAAAATATAATATTCAAAATGACAACGATCGAAAAAACAGAAGTAATTAAACAGAAAATTAAAGCATTAGCAGATTTAATTTAAAGATATGAAAACATGAACTATCGTAATGAACAAAATAGGTTAATTGCAGAAGATAGAAATAAATTTTACAGAAGCTTAGTGAACAACAATATAGCCAGAGATATAAAATTACCGAGTAAATATGACATAGAAAATTTCTGGAAATCAATGCTATCTAATCCTATACAATATAACAAAGAAGCATAGTGGATACACGAACTTGAAACTATGTCAGAGAAACAGATGAAATTACAGAAGAAAAATTACTGAAAGTGGTCAAAAAACTACACAATTAGGAAACACCAGAAACAGACAAAATACACAATTATTATCGGATATGGTTAACCATGTACTAATTAATTATATTTAGCTAAAGAGTTCACCAAATAAGTAAAAGGTTGAGAAGCATTAGAACAATGGTTTACCACGGGGCAGGTTATTTTAATTAAAAAAAAAAAATAAAAGAACATGCAAAAAAATTGAGACCAATTGCGTTTACCTAGTATATACATATAAACTTTTAACCATTGTCAGGAGAACCTTATCGCTGTTGAATAGAGAGGGTGTAGACGTAATGCTAGGGGTTGTAAAGATCATCTCATAGTCAATAAGGCAATTTTAGAGGACGCTCACCTGTCCCAAAAACATTTGAATATGGTGTGGATAGATTATCAAAAGGAATTTGATTATCCTAAGAATGGATTATAAAAATCTTTGAATCTGCAAATGTCCGTCAATAATAAAACCATTCTTTAAAATTGTGGTGTCTGTCTTTAAAATTGCCTACGTGGAAACAGCTCGTGGATCTCACGACTCGTTAACTACTGAGCCAATTTCGATAAAAAGAGGTATATTTCAAGTAGAATTTATTTCATCATTGTTGCAATTAATCTGGCCTCATCACCGCACCACAGAAAACTGCTTGCGATATCCTGATGAATCCCAGGGTTCAATGTTCTTGAGTCAGAACGACATCTAGGCTCATCTCCTATGCTTCTTGGGGTAGCTCAATAGTAGCAAATTCACCTCCCCATTAAATTTATTTAGCCGACTGTACCCTTTGACGAAGCTGTTAGTAGTTCGTACTCTCCACCATGCGTCTCTCCGCATGTATTCGTGCAGGGCAGTCCCTTGCGCCAGTAACGTGGGAGTCAGTGGCCTTCTGACCAAAGTGGTAGCAAGTTGCATACCGCTGCTTATCTGCTGTGCAGTCCTCCGGTTTGTGTCCAATAACCCCGCAACGGCTGCAAGTTACGTTGTCCTGCTGCCACATTTTCTCATTGTGGCCATATAAACTGCACTTGGCACAGCATATGGCGATGGTGAAGTTTTCCACCCGGCAGACCTCCCACCTTACGTACAGTCGGCCTCTTTCCACTAGCATCTTCCATAGTAATGGTGTACAGGTTATCACCATCGCTGACCTGTCCGAATCCTGGCTGCTCTTTTGGAAAGCCAGTCGACTTTCCGATTTCATACGCGCGAGAGGCTATTCTTTATCTTCTGCGAAGTTTTGAATGTGTATCGCCTGTAATGGGTTGCTAAGGTCGGGGTCTTTCCCTTCTAAGTCCCTGATGACTACTAGCGGCGATCTCCCCTTTATTTCATTGGCCTTTAGGGTCTCCGGAAGTGCTGTCCTCAGCTTACGCAGGTCCTCTGCTGTATGGGTTTGCAGTATTGTTTCCCAGAATCGAGGAGGAATTGCCCATTCTGTGTACCCAGAATGGGCAATTCCTCCTCGATTCTGGTCCCGGAGCAACCCCCGGCGGGGTTCTCCTCAGTGAGGATCTTGGCCTAAACACTTGTGGTTTGCCCTCTCCTTCCGAGCTACTCATAGGAAAATTTGATAGTTAAATATATAATATAATAATATATTCTAATACTAATTACTACTACAATAAAATAAACTATGTATTGGGTTCTAAATCTACTAGGTTGTACAACACACAAAAGAAACATTCCAAAAAGTTTATTAATTTTTTTTACGGCACTCGTGCGGGGCGCGTGCTTGTAGTGGACTCGAGGACGAAAATTTATAAGTCCTAGAAAAATCGAAGAAAATTTTTCTTTTGTTCTTTTGTTCAGATACACAATTACAGTGAAACACTGATCCCGTCTGCTCTGACAGTGTTAATAAAACCTGTCATCTGTCAAATACCTCATTGTCACTGTTAATGTGAATGTCATAAATGTCAGAATGTGAATAAGTAGGTGACCGTTGACAGCTGTCAAAAACCACGTTTACACACGTTAAACCTAAACTATACTAACAGTATCAATTTAAGAAAGAAAAAGAGAAGAGAAGCAAATTTAAACAAATATAAATAATATAGAAAGCATTAACAGATTGTAATTAATATAATATACAAGTATAAAATATAGTACCTTAGTTAACTAATATTAAAAAAATGACAAAGGGTAAAAAGAAAAATACCCCTCAGACGAGGTGATCAAACACCTAAGAAAAAGAAAAACAGTTAAAAAAGAAAGAAAGATATAAAAAGATAAAAAACAAAACAAAACCTGATACAGATTGGGGAGTCAATATAAAAAAAAAACAATTTGCAATGAAACACTAAAAGACACAAGAAATATACAAAAATAAGATAATTAAAACGTCCTTACGCTTCGTAATCTAGCACATTGCACACTAAAGTTTTTGGTCCGTATCCACTTATTGTCTATTAGAAAAACACACTGTCAATGAGCTATACAGATAACTAATCAACTAAGAAATAAGGAAACACAGTAAAAACACTAATTACACGTATTATTAAATTTTATATGATATAAATTTCCAAAAAGTGGTCGGCCATATTGGATCGGCCATTTTTGAAATTTTGGAATCTTTGTATCTCGGTCAATATTGGGCCTGGAGAGTCGGGATTTCGAATCAAATCCTTCCCAGGATCCATTCTATTTTTTTTTCTAATTTGGTTGTCTCTTCTTTATTCTACTAGTGTCCGGAGGAGGTATAAAAATAGAAAAAGTCACCAACAAAGACCCTCTGGTGATCATAAAGAATGTTATTTATAAATTGACAGACGAGGAAATCATGGCATCGATAATAAACCAGAACCCGGAATTATTCGAGAACACCAACGAAGAAGATAGACGAATGAAAATAAAGTACAGGCGCAAAACACGGGACCAAGAACGATGCCATCTAATTCTTCAAACAAAACCCAGAATATGGAATGCCATGATAAACGTAGGGCACCTGTACTTGGAAATGGAAAGACTAAAAGTGGAGGATCAATCGCCATTAATCCAATGTAGAAGGTGCTTGAAATTTGGACATGGCGGGAAATTTTGCTCCGAAAGTGCAGACAGATGCAGCCACTGCCGGGACCTTCACCTGCGGACAAAATGTCTGGACAGGAAAGCAGGGATTCCTCCGCAGTGCTGCAACTGTGTGCACGCCAAACAAGACCAAACGGACCATAATGCGTTCAGCAACGAATGCAGAACGAGAGGAAAATAGGAGTGTCTGGCCCGTTCCACCACCGCATACAATTAAAAAGGAACAAAACAGACAATTACAAGGAGTAAGACACACACAAACACAAAAGAACATAATAGACTACACGACTACTAAAACACATAGAACAAATATTATAAAACATAAACACACAAAAGCAATCATAAATACACGAAGCGAAAAACAATATGCAATATGCCTTGAAGAATATTCATGGGAATACAAACCAAGCCATACTACAAACACGGAATAAAAATAAACAAAACAAAAACATAACTAGAAAATTTTTGGGAGAACTTATGTTAAAAATAAGATTAGGACGGGACAATTTGAACATGAGCATAATGATGATGCTACAAAACAAACTCAAAATAAGAATAACAACAAAGCAGGAAAAGCTCGGATCACTAAATATATGAATGCATATATGCCCAGTGATCCAAACTCAAATAGAATTAAAATTAATATAGGATTAATAATTAGAACAAGACAAAATATAAGAGATAAACAGGAATAATAAAATAAAACTGGCGTGAAGCCCTGCACAGCTCAGTGGACGGACTCGAGTTACGCGAGTCCAATTCATGCCCTGCATCTACTAAGTGGACCAGGGAGCGAGCTGAGAAGCACACTTGCCGCGACTTCGTGCAGTTCGTGCATTGCCATATTAACGCGCACTATTCGCGCTTGCGCAATTCTAGGGGAGCAGGGATGCTGGGGTTGAGTTGAACTGCCGTGCAGGTTGCATGGTCAGGGAGATGACTGCCCATACTATCCAGCAATTTCACAGAACACACGGGGCCCGTATCGAACGCCACGACTTTGTGGTGAACTACCTTGATGGTTGTAGGACCGAGAAGGGTTGGAGTGTGGTGCGGAAGCCGAGGATAGCTACCTCTGTCGGTCTGAGGAAGCCAGACATCTTCCAGGGACGGTGTGACGCAATGTGGTTTCTACCCAGTGCTCTGAATGTCAACGTGAAGAAATTCAAGCAAGCGCGGGTAAACGGCGGGAATAACTATGACTCTCTTAAGTGGTGAGATGGTGACCACGTGTGGGTTTGGTGGTGCCCACTAGAGCCAAATTGTAGAGAGTAGGACACGAACGTTACCTGTGAGAGAGGGGTGTATAGGTGTCTTCTCTTCTTGGCAGATCTATCGGTCGCGAGTTGTTTATAGTTACTTCCGACTCACAAAGACGTGCCGTTCACACGTGGTTGCAGTGATGGACGGATCAACACATCCTGTGAGTCGTCAAAGGGGCTGAGCACTAGTGGCAGGTTTAAAACCCAATTCCTACCCTAAGCATGCTTGTGGCGTCGCTGCTTTCGCTAATAAGGTTGGGGGGCATCGGATCTAAATGCGGGGTCTGCGCAGTCTCAGGTATCTCCCCCTCGGTCATCCACACATTGAACATTTCTGCTTTCGAATGTGCAGGAACTGCTCTCCAGTCTTCTAGACGAATACCGTCTGGGCCCGGGGCGGTGCGCGTGTCGAGTCGGACCGTTTTCACCTCGTCGGCGGTAAAGGATATCCAGAGCTGAATCACGGCCCGCGACCCTCCCTCCTGCTCCACTTGCCTTGCGGCTCGCAGAGCAACCGGGCTGGGTCTAGGGGCGTCAGACACTTTCTCGAATATTGGAGGCCAGCAGGCCTCCAGTTTCTCGATAGAGTGCTTCAACCGCTGCTCGACTATGACATTTCCGCCACATATCCTGCACTCTTGCGTACTCAGTTCTCCGTCGCTGCTTACTCATCAACTTCCTCCCGGTCTCAGCAGTATTTTTGCAGGTCCTATCGTCTTTGCTACGCCAGCTGCGCCGGCTTCCTTGGGCATCATCAGGCCCCGTCATGGCCCTTCTTGTCATCCTCGCTTCTGCCCTTACTAGAAGAACGTCCACGATACGGAGATAATTTGGACTGTTAGGACCCTCCGCCATGTCCAGTCCAGTATTAGCGTCCAGCGGCTCGCCTTCAGATCCCCGTCGCTGACGCTGCCTCCGCCCCCGCTGTACTACCGGGGACCCCCTACTGTCCATGCTGTTACCCTCTTCGGTGACGGCGTGGCTACCACCAACATCTCCGCCGTCACACGTGCGGAGTCGCTCTAGTTCAATGGACACCTCAGACCTGTAGGTGTCCTTCCTCCGCACGCCTTTGACCGCCTCGAGCGTACGCCCAAGTTGAGGCAGTGCATTTATTAGGGCAACATTCGTGCACTTCTCCCCGGCAAATATCAGCCTGGCTTCTGCAGCCGCCAGCAGCTTGAGCTTTTCCTCAAGCCACGCTTTCACTGTGGAGGAGCGCATTGCGCATTAGCCTGGATGGGCGCGCCTTGAATGCACCCCCAAGCCAGTTTTTGCTCCAAAGGCCCATTCGCATAGCGCGCATGGCCACTCGAATGACGACTCTCCCCCGGGGGCGGACGGGACGTCAAACGCCCCGACGAGTTTTATACGACGCCTCCGGCTCCTGTGGAAGACCGGAGTTGCCGATTCCTTTATCATTCTCGGTAGGTGCGTCAAATAAAAAAATGCCCGTGAGTGGGTGTGCAAGCCCTACTCTGGACCTCGCCCACGTTTCTCGTATGCCCCAGCCCAAGCGAACCGTGAACTTCCTGTACCCACGAATGGATACAGGCACGGGGCTACTCGGAGCACCATCTCCAAGCGTTCCCTCCTTGGTGTCTCCAAGCTCTCGAGACTGACTTGCGCTGTGCCGCCTTTCTGTCCATAGAGATCGCATCAGAGAGACGTGTCAACTTCCGGATCCGCAAGGCTACCCCAGACCCCGCATTTAGATTCGTTGCCACTCCCCCCCTTATTAGTGAAAGCAGCGACGTCACGAGCATGCTTAGGGTAGGAGTTGGGTTTTACACCTGTTATAAACAACTTGCGACGAAGAAGAGAAGACACCTATACACCCCTCTCTCACAGGTAACGTTCGTGTACTACTCTCTACAATTTGGCTCTAGTGGGCACCACCAAACCCACATGTGGTCACCATCTCACCACTTAAGAGAGTCATAGTTACTCCCGCCGTTTACCCGCGCTCGCTTGAATTTCTTCACGTTGACATTCAGAGCACTGGGCAGAAATCACATTGCGTCAACATCCGCGAGGGCTATTTGAAAGCTAGCTGACACATACTTCGTAAGCGTGAAAAGTAGTAATCATTATGAATTAACGGGGAACGCAGAAGTCCGGTACAAGCACATGAGAGTCGTGCCGGGAAGTCCCAGTATGTCCGCTAGCAACTGTAGAAACTCGGCATGAGACCCGTACTTGTGCCGTTTCTCATGATGAGCATTGTCCAGCAGCCCTGTGACAACTTGTGCGTCAACGATCACACCTACACCGTCCCTGGAAGATGTCTGGCTTCCTCAGACCGACAGAGGTAGCTATCCTCGGCTTCCGCACCACACTCCAACCCATCTCGGTCCTACAACCATCAAGGTAATTCACCACAAAGTCGTGACGTTTGATTCGGGCCCCGTATATGTTCACAGAACACATTGTTGGATAGGATGGGCAGTCGTGTCCCTGACCATGCAACCTGCACGGCAGTTCAACTCAACCCCACCATCCCTGCGCCCCCTAAAATTGCGCACGGGCGAATAGTGCGCGTTAATATGGCAATGCATGAACTGCACGAAGTCGCGGCCCGTGTGCTTCTCAGCTCGCTCCCTGATCCACTTAGTAGATGCAGGGCATGAATTGGACTCGTGTAACTCGAGTCCGTCCACTGAGCTGTCACTTTGGGTCCCTATCTCACTGGGATTGAAGACAATACTTTTTAAATCATCTCACAAGTACATAATCCTTTTGACCATATTAAAGATAATAATCAGACCAAATTTACAAGAGGATTTTGACTTGATGTCAAACCAATTTGGTGGGTATACTTTCATGATGAAAGTGGCCAGTTCTTTTAAATTGTTTGTCTGTTTAGCAGTACCAATATACAAGAGAATTTGTTTCGTGCTGCATATTGTTTCGTGCGAATAAAATAAACTTTTAATTAGTAGTGTTATTTTATGTTCCTCCCTTTGGGTCAATTTCAACAAGTCCCTTAAAATCTTCATTTCCATGGATTTTTTTTTCTTTAAAGATTTAAAGAAAACGAAAACGTTTTTTTAAAGTTTTCGATAATATATGTATTCTTGCTTAATATCTAACAGATAACTTAAAAACTGAACTAGATATACTAGTTTCAAAATCTCGTGCCACGGCAATGAAATATGCAAGCACGGCAATGAAACAAAAGTCCACGACAATGAAAGAACTGTGTGCCACGGCAATGAAATCAATCAACGGAAATGAAAATCCATATTAAACATGCGTAATTAATATTTTATAAACTTACACTTGATTCACAATGTTTACTATCCTCCTAATATTATTTTTATAGTGAACTAACTACACCTGCTCACAAAATATGATATTATATTTTGCGAACTAAGTACCTATTTGTAATTTATCTGCGTAAAAGGTAAAGGAGTAAAAAGTTTATAGAATAAAAGCAGAATCATTTATTTCAATTCTTCTACAAAAAAATATTAACAAATAGGATTTTCAAAAGATGCAATAGCAATTGCATGAACTACAAACAACTAACATAACACAACATGATTTTTCAATTTGCACATCAATGCAAAGCAAAACGATAACATTTTTAAAGTCTAAAGATAAAATCTAGTCCACCATCTCTCTTCGTTTTTGTTCGTTCCTTTACACGCTGTATACGTGTGCTAGGGTATCTAAAGATCAATATTTATGGTTCACGTGGAAACATTTTTTTGTAGTTGACTGTACAGTAAAACTCGTCACCTGTATTACATGTAAAGATGTTTTCTTTGCTTAACCATACCATGGCGATGAAAACAAAAGTCACGGAAATGAAACATCTGACCACGGCAATGAAACTAACTTGTTTTACAAGGCATGGCAATGATTTTTTTTTCATTTCCGTGTCTTTTTTTTCATTACCATAGCAAATTTTGCCCACGGAAACCGCGGAAATGAAAGCATAGCGATGAAAACCAAGGCAAAAATATAAAATAACAAAAAATGTATTAATTATTCGACGTTATAAATATTTCACAAATAAACAGAACAGAAATGGCGAATATCAGAATACTTAATCAAGAGGATAAACTTATTCAAATAGAAGTTATACCTAGACACGTCGATGAAAGAAAAAGTGTCCAGTGATTGAAAAACTGAATACTTACATTTATGGCCCAAAAACGCAGGCACATATGTAAGTCCTTCCAGGCCGGGCACATAGGCGACACTAATATACATACATTTAGCGCACAAAATGGGTAACCGCACGCCGTTAGATAAAAAAAAAACTAAAACAAGCTTAGGCCACGTCGATGAAAGGAAGTTCTGGGACAAATGGATTTTTATTGCCTATTCGTTTTATTGTTTAAATATTTGAATAAATGTATTCCGTAACAATACTTTAACTATTCACGTATGAAATAAAAGTATGATATAATATAAATAACCAATAGATTTTTATCAATCAAGTATAATACAAATCAAGGTGGATTGTGGACAAACACGGGAATGAAATATTTCGAGGTTTAGTAATTTTTAAGTAAATACTCATTAATTCCATTAATGTAATATTTAGTGCTCCACATAATTCACTATTTCACCTAATCAGAAAAAAATATTAGAACGCTATAACTAGGTTTTTTAATACCGATTTCATCGATGCCACGCAATTTTTTGTGTCGGGAAATCCACCCCTTTATCATATTATAAGGCATTAAGTATGGTAGTATAAAGTAGGAAATAGACTGTCTGGTAGTAGTTTTTGGTAGATATAAAAATTCGATTGTGTACAAAACCCTAGTTTAGAATGAGTCGCTCGGAGGCGGGAGTAAGTCCAACGGTCTTCAAGCCCAGGTCTTCACTCAGGACGCCACCTAGGACAGCACCACATCGAATGAAGATCCCAAGCCCACCGCAGAAGTCGTTGGTAGCCTCAGCGGCTGAGATACATGCGTCTGTATACAAGGCAATAGTGGCCAGTTTTTCCCCAGGGCGTTCGTCTCCAGCCGGTCTTCCAATGTCTGCTACCCTCAAGCGCCTCCAACAAGCGGACCAGGGAAGAGAGTGTTGTCACCGGACGAATGGTCCTCTACCACACGAAGAAGCGGCTAAACCCTAGGGAAGAGGGATGGTTGACTCCCCCTGACTTCAGCATGCCTTGCTCCAGCGGGGACGAGATGGAACAGGAGCTAGATGACTTGTCCCGGGCAACGTCGAGGCAGCTACTATCACGAGCCAATGCAACAGCAAGGGGTATATCCAGTGTGGTGAGGGGACCCAGTTAGAAGCTTAATAAATCGCCTAGACGGTAATACACGCTTTCGCCGGGACGATTACCACCTGCCCCGTAGATGACGCCGGGTTTTCCGGAGCTGCCCTAGGGGGGTTTGGGAACGAGTAAGAGGATTCTTTCGCCAGATGAGTGGACCGCCACAATTCGTACGACGAGAAGGAAGCTGACCTCGAGAACCGGGATTTGACTCCACCGGGCTATGGGACAGCGTTATCAAGTGGCGAGGAGATGTAGTAGGAAGACTAGAAAGAAGACTCTGGCACGGGGAAAAGTCATCGAATCTGACGCGTGCGACCTCCCGCCAACTGCTGGCAAAAGCCAATGAGTCTGCGAGGGCTACATCAGGGGTAGCTGGGAGATACACCTCTAAATTAAATAAGACGGATTTTGCGACTATAAACAACCAGCTATCGGTCCTAATGGAGGTGGTGGCACATTTGGGCCTAACACCGGAGTCCAGCAAAAATGACATAGATAAAGCCAATACAAGGGCGGAGATGGCGAACGTGGCCTGGGGCGTAGCTGCGTACAGAAGATGGAAGCTGAAGCCGAAAATGTAAAGCAGGAAGCATTGGCGACTGCTACGAGAGCATCAGAGGCTGTGACTGCTGCTAGGCTGCACCAGGGGGAAATTCTTATGCAGATAAAGTGAGAAGAGGAGGGCCTGCGATAGCTCTATACCCGGCACTTCAAATAAAGGTGGATAGACTGCGCAAAGTCGGGAATGAAGGTATTATAGTACAAACCCACTCCGCTGAGGATATGAAAAAAATCAAGCAATCTCAAATACCTTGAAGGTAAACGACCTCAAGGGTAGGTCACCTCTGCTCGTCATAAGGAACCTGGAGGGGAACGATCCAGACTTGGGGGAAACACTCCAAGCAGTGCAACCATGGTCATTGCATGTTCGCGGGCGCTCCGTATAGGGCTAGTGTACGTGGGTTGGGAGGTCTGCCGGGTAGAAGACTTTACAACGGCGACAGGATCCATTTCTCGTCACAAGTAATAATGCAGTTCAGAATTCCTTCATTTGTATGCCAGTTGAGCAGTGTAAGGCACGTCTCGTCGCGTACTTCGCGCTGGCAATCATCGAGTTCGTGGGGTAACCATTTGTCAAGCTTTTGAATTTGCCAATTTGACTCAAATGGACCAATATTGAACTTGAATTATTCAAGGTTTTAGTATTTTGCGATATTGTTCTAATAAAGTTTTATCCATGCAACTCATTTCAAAAAGTCGAGTGGTTTCTCTTTTTGGTTGCCTCTTTTTTAAGATTATTTGTCACCGTTCACAGTGCGTTAAAATAGGAAATCACTTAAGTAGCGAACAAACACTTAATTTCGGCATTCCACAAGGAAGTATAATCGGTCCGACTTTTAATTTTTGTGCTACATAAATGATATTTATCAGTTAAGGCTACAAAATTGTAAATAATATCATATGCGGATGATACTGCCCTTATTTTTTCTGGGGATACATGAGACGAAGTTTTATATCGGCAAAAAATGGATTCAATGTTGTATCACAGTAGCTCGCTGCAAACAGTTTGACACTAAATATAGAGAAGACCAAATATGTATGTTTCTCTATACGTAAATTATCTTAACTGCAACATCTGAATATATATGCACATAATTGTTCTCTTTCCCCATTAACACCATCGCTGTAAAACAATAAGTAAGTCGAAACATTATATAGTGATATTAGGAACTGGTATGTACGACGAAAATATTAAAATTGAAATCAAATTTACACATAATGCTGAATAAAACTTAGTAAATTGTCGGTGTTTCTTGTACAGTTCTATCATAGCAATTATTTTAATTGTAAATTTGCAGATATAGAACCTTGTTTTTATAAAGACAGAAATATATTTATGCATATTTTAACAATTAAAATAAATGTTTTCATTGACGGTGATAAATAGAATCAAACATTTCTTAACCTTAAAAATGTAGTTATGTACTCTCGAAAAAATATAACTAAAAACATTAGTTTATATAAAAAAATGTAACTAATGTACTCAAACAAACGACTATACCTATTGCAATAAATATGCAACTAATAAAGAAACATGTTGATGATGATAATGTGAATAATCCTTTTTTTGAATCTATCAACGTAAATCAACTGTTGATAGATTTAGTTACTCGATTACTTAATTACTCGATTGTAGAGAGAGCGTGATCATCGATACTTTTAATTTTACGAGGGTCAAACTGAAAGTTCTTAGAAAATCAAAAACTGATTACATTAGCCAGTTATTAGTTTTATTATATCTTTTCAAAATATTGTCCATTCACGTCAATACACCGCTGCATGCGATGGAACCACTGGGAAAAGCACTTTGCCCACTCGTCCTTAGGGGTCTCTTCAATGGCATCGCGATACGCAGCCACCGCTTCTTCAGCATTCATAAACCGCTTTCCTTTAAGTTTTTCTTTAATTTTTGGAAATAAATAAAAATCACAAGGCGCGAGGTCGGGGCTATACGGCGGGTGACCCAGTAATTCAACGTTTGATGTCGCCAAATAGTCGATCGTTCGCTTGGCGGTGTGCGACGAGGCGTTGTCGTGGTGAAGGAGGATCCTACTGCGAGGTCGTTTCTCTCGAACTTTTTCCAAGACAAGTGGCAAACAATTGGTAGTGTACCATTCTGCAGAAACTGTTTTTTGATCCTCTAACACAATTGTTGCAAAATGACCTATCCTTCCAAAGAACGAGGCCACCATTTTTTTTCCCGCACTTCGATCTCTCTTCACTTTAGTTGGCAACTCCTCGAAAGGAAACACCCACTGAGCAGATTGTCTTTTGGTTTTAGGATCATAACAGTAAATCCAGCTTTCGTCACCTGTTAGTATGTCGAACACAGCATTTGAGTCACCTCCGTTAAATCTTTCAATCATTTTACGACACCAATCCACACGATGGAGTTTTTGAGCCTCAGTCAAATTATGAGGTATCCACCGGGCGCAAAGCTTCCTGACCGCTAAATGTTCGTGGAGGATTTTGTGCACTTGACTCATACCGATGCCTAAGCTTGTCCGAATCTGTTGATAGGTCACTCTTTTGTCAGTCTCTATCATACGCCGCACAACACAGATGTTATCTTCAGTCGTCGCCGTAGAAGGCCGTCCCTCACGTAAATCATCAGTGAGATTAGTGCGACCACGTTTAAACTCATTAAACCAGTTGTAAACAGTCGCACGAGATGGGGCTTCATCGTGAAAGGCCAATCGTAGTCTATCATAACTTTCTTGTTGACTTAAATGACATCGAAAGTCATAAAAAATCATTGCACGAAAATTTTCTCGTGTTAAATTCATGATGACGTGACACAGACAATTTTCAATTTGCCGCCAAATCGTAAAACAAATGACAAATGAATGAAATATATACTCAGTAATATTGGCAAAGAGTTATATTTTCAAATTTTAGAATTATTTTTTTATTATATTGTTTATAAATGGCCAGTTCTAAGAACTTTCAGTTTGACCCTCGTAAATTGGAACATAAATTAAAATACTAGGAATAAAACCAATTAAGGAAAAGTAATACATATGTTTGCTTATCATATATACAGTGTTCTTATCAAATGAACTATTAAACATTACATTATTGAACTAAACAATTACTAAAATAATTAGGATAGCAATAAAACGAAATAAACAGGATAAAACAAATAGACTAGAATAGAAAAATACGATAGAAGAATATAAATCTAAAAAGAGAAATTAAACAAAAAAGGGGATAAAAAGGATGAACACTGATAATGGAGTATAGTAAAATAGGATAATCAACATAGTCAATAATTAATAAACAGTTAATGTATTAGACAATAAGTATAGCAAAGAAATGTAAAATAGAATAAGAATAGAATAATAAGTATAGTAAAAAGGTAGAAAACATTGCATTAGCGTAGTAAAGAATTGTAACAACAAACACAAATATGTAATCACTAAGATAACAAAATGCAATTGAAATAAAGAATGAAAAATTTGTAAGAACAATTAATATAAATACCATAAGAAAATAGAAATAAAAAAAATAAAAATAGTATAAGTAAAAACAAAAATAGTAAAATTACAAAAATAATAAATAGATATAATTACAAAATGTGAAAAAAATTAAACAATAAAGAAACGTGTTATATTAAAATAAAAAAAAATAGAATAAGGAAAGAATTGACTAATATTACAAATGCGGAAATCCCTGTCGCTCGAGGTATGAATGAGAATAATGATAGAAAAACAAAGTATGCAGAACGAATGTACTTAAAAGTGATAGAACTGGAATGGAAGAGTAGTTATAAAGGCCTGCTAATAAGTCGGAGGGAATGTAGGGCTCGGCCGAGTATGTAAGGCCGAACATAATAAAAAAGAAACCACTTCCTCACTGCAGTCCAGATCTGTACATCGAGCATGCCCAACCTATCGTCCGTTATCGTACCAAGCACAGTAACGTGATAGCGTAATGGTAATGAGGCGGCAAGTGTCTCCTCAAGACCTCCAGTCACTCCTAGGGCTTAAGAAGAGCCTTTGAAATGTTGTTCAAGGCTCCTTTGATCTCATGCTCCAAAACAACGCATCCAGGAGCCTGAAAGTCTACGCCGAAGTAGCGCCATTTTTCAAAGCAATCCACCTGCCTAAGCCAAAGCCAACCAATGCGAAAACATCGGCCAGTAGGATAGTTTGGTTTTTTACGCTTACCATCCGGCATCATCGACAACAAGGAGCTCATATTGTAGTTGAGCTGGAGACCCATTGGGGCGGTGCGCGTATCGAGTCGGTCGGTTTTCGTCTCATCGGCGGTGAACGACTCCCAGAGCAGATTAGCATCCTACGACCCTCCCTCGGGCTCCACTTGCCTTCACTCGCAGAGCGACTGGGCTGGGTCCGGGAGCATCAAACATCTTCTCGAGTATTGGACGTCAATAGGCCTCCAGTTCCTCGATAGAGTGTTTCAATCCCCTGCAGTGACCATCGATCACTTCAGCCGCTGCTCGACTACTACATTGCCACCACAGATCTTGCAGTCTTGCGTACTCTGTTCTCAGTCGCTGTCTACTCGACAACTTTCTTCTAGACTCAACAGCATTCCGTCCTTGCCTGAGACACTCCACAACCAACACCTCCGCCGTCACGCGTGCGTAGTCGCTCCAACTCATTGGACACCGCAGACCTGTAGGTGTCTTTCCTTCGCACGCCTTTCACTGCCTCGAGCGAACGCCCTAATTGAGGCAGTGTATTTATAGGGGCAATATTCTTGCACCAGCAAATAACAAGCGAGCTTCAGCAACAACCAGCACCTTGAGTTCTTCCTCAAACCACCTTCGCATCAGCTGCGGAGAAGAGCATTGCGCCTAGGCTTTTACGAGATAGGCGCGCGTTGTATGAATGCCCGCCCGCACACGAGCATGGCCACCCAGACGACGACTTACGCTGAGGGTAGACGGGACTTCAAACATCCCGACAAGTATTATTCGACGCCCCTGGCTACTGTGGAAAACCGGGGTTGCCGGTTCCATTCTCATTATCAGACATTGCGCAAATAATGCATG